GTCAATATATAATTCACCTCAGCATCTTTACTTGACTCCCAGATATTTATATGTCAATACTTTCTCCACCTGTTTGTCATTTAGATTAAGTCTCACGTTGCCCCTTTGTTTGCTCTGAAATTTTGTCTTTTCTTCATTGATAACCAGCCCTAATGTTTGAGCAAGTTTACTATAGTTTTTCAGCGCCGTCTGTAAACGGCGCTGTGTAGTCCCTTGTATCAATATATCATCTGCGTATATAATTGGCAGGACGCCCTGAGGATAGCTCTCTGAGGCTATTCTGTTCACCAGTACATTAAAAAGTGTTGGGGTTAAAACGCCTCCCTGTGGTGTTCCCAGCTCAAGATTTCATTCCTCTGACAAACAGCCTTGAAACCACACACAAGCTCTTCTCTCAGACAAATAGTCACCGATCCACTTAAGCAACGTTCCCGTGACCCCTAACATTGCCAACTCATACATAATTACTTCTCCGTTGGCTTTATCAAAGGCTCCCTGTAAATCAACACATACTCTACACTTTTCTGCATCGTTGGATAAACACTGAATTAGGCAGTCAGATGTTCCCTTCCCTTTCATAAACCCGTGCAGATTACAAGAGAGTTTATCTCCAATCACATACATGTCTGTTTAATAATATTCGTTCCATCATCTTTCATAAGCAGGATGTCAGAGATACAGGCTTGTATCCACCTGACGATTTAGGAATGGGTATTATTTAGGCTTTTTTCCAGGCCTTCGGCAATCTACCTTCCAAATAGCTCACGATAAAAAGATCTAATAAAGGGCTGTTCTCAATGCTTACTTAACACATTTAGAATGTCATATGTCACGCCATCTTCTCCTGGCGATGTGCTTTTCCCCCTTTTGATTGCATTTAAGAGTTCATGTATGGTTACGGTCTGACAAGATACTGCAGTATTTGTTTTTTTTCGTCTAAAGCATCACGAGTGTGCTGTGGCAATGAGACCAGTGAGGATGCCTTCGCCCATTTCTAAATATGTTTGTTTGCCTCCTCCTCTGGGTGTGGGTGACCGATGAGGTTATTTGTTTTGCCCTCACCTTATTGGCGTGATGCCCTATTTCTTTAAGGCTTTTGTATTCCTCGATGTTTTGCGCAAATTCTTTCCAGTATTTCTCCCTTACTTCTTTCCGTTTTCCCCACACATTCTTGATATATCAAGGAGTATATCTTTGTCCTGTTCCGTTTTGCCTTTTTGTACCCACTCCCTGTGTGCCAACCTTAGCATGTATGTCCATTCCTTAAGTGTCTTATCACTGCAGTACCTGTTTTTCCTTCCCCCATGACCCTTTTCCTTTCTGTGTGTCTTGGGTGTTGTGGGTAAACATCTTTCTATCGCACTCAACAAATCCCGGTTGAACCTATCTAAACATATGGGTGTATAGTGTTTATACCAATTCTCTATGTTGTAAACAAACTGGTCTGTCGTTTACATAAAGTGAAAGCCGTTTTCTCTCAAATTTAAATTGTATTTGCGGGTGTCTAGCATTCAAGTCACCCACTATCAGAGCAGAGTCAGAGTACATGCAATCAGGTAAATATCTGAGGTCAAAGGGTCTCCCAGAGATGTATAAGTTGACAATATACATTTCACCTTGTTGCAAATGAAGCTTCACACACACTTTCTATGCCGTTAGTTCTGCACGGCGTCTCTGTTAGTTCAGAGGGTATTGAGCTTTTGACATAAGTTGACACTCCCCGTATTCGGTCACCGGCATGAAGGTGGTACGCTCTATAACCATTAAGTTTTGAGAGTATCACCTTTCGTGTCCCTGGTTTCCTGGAGACAAACTTCGTCAATATTGTTTTATAGTACAAAGTAGTGAACGTCTGTAACTCTGGTAAGCAAACTACTTACATTCCACGATAATATTCTAATACTACGCTCCATCAGGTTTTGATTGTGCCCTTATGTTTTTCTACTACTTTTTGAATAGTTCCCCATAGCTCTTGCATAATTTCCTATTTTTTCAGGAAGTTTTCCTTCTCCGGGTCCTTACATTTTAGGAGGACTGACCGGAAGACCTCAGAGGATGTTCCTTCCACTATGCTTGATTTTATTGTTCTTTCTTTACCCTTAATGGTAATCTTTCTCTCTAATTTTTTTCCCCTTACAAGTCCACTAATATTTTCACTATTCATGTCTTTCTCGGTCTCCTCTTCCTTTTCTGCAAGCTGTTTTTTTCTAACGCGTCCATCCTCTTAATCATGGTCTGCATCATCTGAGTAAGTGCGGATATTGCCTCCCCATCATTACTGTGCAGCACTTCCTTCACCTGTTGTTGCTCCTGCGTTCGCTTGTTTTCCTTGGGCACCACGGCCGGTGGGCCCTGCAGCCAGGCGTTCGGGACAGGAACTGCTGTCTCCCTCGGCACCTCTGCCTGCATGGTGACCGGCCCTGCCTCCCTCGGTGCCTCTTCTGCGACTCCTTGGTGGGGAACGGCCGAAGTTACCTTCCGCTGAGGCCTCGCTCTGCATGCCAGAGATCCGGCATTGTGCGGGCCTCCGCAATTGCAGCAGCAAGGCTTAATTCTGTCTCCCTTTCCTATTTTGGCCCGGCAGATCCTGGAATCGTGTTTCTTGCCTCAGAACTTGCATCGGGCGTCCTGTTACCATTTCCACGATTTGTGGCCCCATCTGCAACACTTGAGGCACATGACTGGCGCCTCCACGTACGGTGCCACCCTCCTGTACCCCGCTCCAGAGATGAAGACCCTTTCTGGCACTTCCCCTTTCACGAGGGCTACGAGCTGACTCCGCTCCTCACCCCAGGACTCGTTCCTCTTCACCCACAAGAACCTTTCGTCGTCCAGGAGATATTCAGGATCCAGTACAGTAGGGTATTGGATAATTATCACTTTCGTGAGTTTTCCCCCACCCTTTGGGACAGTCATCACCGTCCCCTTGTACCCTTGAGTCGTCAGGGTTTGTTCTCTGCGTGAGGTACCTTTAGCAGCGGCGTTGCATGGTGGTCCCGGCCCAGCTGCATGGCCCATCTTAATTTTTCCATGAAGTTCATGGCACAGTTCTGCAGGAATAGCAGTCTCTTCCTGCCGTTCACACCTTCATTCTGATTTCCTTCCTTGTTTTCATATTTCTTTTTCCTCTTCTCTTCCCGCTCGCACCCATTCTCAATATCACTCATCTCACTTGCGCTTTCGTCGTTCCTTTCCCTCTTATGGGAACCACTTTCCATATTCCCTTTCACACGTGCACATTCACTTTCAGTTTCCATGTCATAATTGGTACCATGCTGACACCTGGGGAGGTGACCTGAGCCCCGCCCACGAGGCGGAGGTCAGTGCAGGGAGCGGTTGCCAGAATTCTTCTTGCAAATGACACTAATTATCCAGTTTCCTGTCTTTTTGGATCACGACTGTTATACGCCAGTTTTGGGTAGATTGCGGAACACTGAAGGGCCTGAGGCACCTCACCCGCTCCCTGTCCAAGGACTAGGTGGGGGACAGGTAAACACAGGGTTCTGGAAATCTCTCACGGCTGAGGACAGCACACAAACACGTCCTAATTCTACGAGAGATACACCACGATTGGAAGGAGGGAGGGAGAGAGAGAGAGAGAAAGGGAGGAAGGAAGAGAGGAAAGAAGTGAGAGAAAGAGGGAGGGAAGGAGAGAGAGGGGGAAGGAAGGAGGAGAGAGAGAGAGAATATTTTGAAGCGTGCTGTCGGCAGTGGCGTGTTGGGGAGATTGCAAAAAGCGGTGCAAAAGGTTGAAATGGCGCCTGCTTCCGTGGTTAACTTGAACATTTTGCAGTAGTTCGTGTTATTTATTATCCATACACAAAATTAGAAGTCTAACTGTGTCGTTGGAAAAAGTAAATAGATTTTCGGTGCCCCAATGCATATAGTCATTGATTTTGGCGCCCCTCATTTTCAGTTGCCCCCACCCTGGTGCCCGTGCCACCACGCCACTGTCGGGGCTTGATCGCCATCGTACGTGATTATGTATTCGTAATCGGAACCTGTTCTGAGCGCTGCTTAAGATTTCAATCTCATAAAACTCCCAAATCCTCCCCCTCCTCCTCCTCCTCATCATCATCATCATCATAATAGTGATAATAATAAGAATGACAATAAAATGATAATAATAATAATAATATTGATACTAAAATGATAATAATAATAACATTGATACTAAAATGATAATAATAACAATATTGATAATAGAATTATAATAATAATAATATTGACAATAATAAGGAAACTTATTATGATCATAATAATAATCATGTTAATGCTAACAAAAACAATAATAACAATGACAACAACAACAGTGAAAATGATAATAAAACAACAGCAACACAGATATAAAAAAAAATATATACATCGTCACACAAATAACAAGAAATCGCGAAAAAACTAACCTGCCGCAGCAACCGAGCGCGGCGCTGCGCAGGACTCTCAGTTTTGGCGGGAACTTCGGCGGGAGGGTTGAGGGGCTCCGTCGGTGACTCAGCCATTTTGGGATTCTGGAATGTTCGAAGGCGAAGGGATTAAAATAATGGTTTTAATGATGGTGGTGATGATGATATTGAAGATGATGATAATAATTATAATAGTAATTATAATAATGATGATATTTATAATGACCATAAAAGTAATAACAATAATAATGATAATAAACATTGTTTTATTGGGAACAAAGGTAAAGGCAATGACATATATATATATATATATATATATATATATATATATATATATATATATATATATATATATATATATATATATATATATATATATATATATATATATATATATATATATATATATATATATATATGGAAACATAATATTTAATATATATATGAAAGGGCAAAAAGTTATGCAAAGGATAAAAAAATAAATTAACGAATGTTGAAATGTTTACGCGTGTGCGTAAATGAGGCTAATGAGTGCGGTCGACTGGTCAGACCATCAGAAACAAAGATTATCAAATGCGTAAATGAATATCTGTTTGTATGTGTGTATGGAAATCGCCAGGGCTCCACTGTGTGTGTTAAAAGAAGTCTATTATATAATGCAATGTACAATAAAAAGGAAGGTTAGCGAGACACGCAAAATGTGCGTAAAAGTGAGGGTCCGGCAATAACCCTAAGGAAAGAAAAAGAAGGAAGAAATAAAAGCAAAAATGGAAACCGAATAAAGCAATTTATGCCATAAACATGTGATGAAGTGGAATGAGTGAACACGAGAAACGATAGCCATAGAACATGAAATGTGAGGACGGGAATAACAAGAGACAAAACAAACAAACAAACAAATGGCAACTACAGCGTATGTGACGCGCCCTTGCCAGGCCGGGACCGCTCACCTGCGAGGGCTGCCTGCGAAATCCCTCATCTCCGACGCCACGCATCATAGTAAAGCACCTCGGTAAGAGAACGCGTGTGAAAAGAAAAGGAATAATTTTACGTGACAAGTGTGGTTACAAAGAAATCAAATAAGTAACTGAGTGTTGAAATGCGTCAACGTTGTGGTCTCTCTTTCTCAGGGACCTCGAGCGCGGCTCAGCACCGCCGCCGTCGCCCGCAGGAGGCCCGGTTTTTTTTCGCCAGGACTGGGCGATCGCAGAGGGAATGGCAGCGGGTCGCAGCCTCCGCTGATGCCGAGATCCTGACGTGAGCGAGGTGTCCTCCCGTCTACCCTCGGGTTACGCGCACCGTCGACACAGTGAATAAATAGATCGATATTAAGAGAGAACAAGACGGAACGTTGCGTGCAACAATTTCCCCGTAACCGGTGATTGTGATGTGATTGACGATGATTTATTTCTGTGTCCGATTTTAAGACATTTATGTTAGGGAGCAGTTATCGGGTCTTTATAAAGTGTTGTGTGTGAGTGCGCGCGCCTGTACGTGTGTGTGTGCGTGCGCCTGTACGTGTGTGTGTGTGTGTGTGTGTGTGTGTGTGTGTGTGTGTGTGTGTGTGTGTGTGTGTGTGTGTGTGTGTGTGTGTGTGTGTGTGTGTGTGTGTGTGTGTGTGTGTGTGTGTGTGTGTGTGTGTGTGTGTGTGTGTGTGTGTGTGTGTGTGTGTGTGTGTGTGTGTGTGTGTGTGTGTGTGTGTGCATGTGCGTCGGGCGCTTTCGCAAGCCTTATTGATGAGCGTCATTGGTTGTGATGTTTTTGGTTTTGCTTTCTAAAGTTACGTGCATTGAATAAACTCGGATTATAATTAATGTTTCCTTCAACCCCAGCATTGTTCTGACATAAAAAAAGAATAAAAGATCTAGAGAGGCTCAACGCTGAACATCATAATAGCTAAAGATTATAATCCCTCTCATATATGTATATATATATATATATATATATATATATATATATATATATATATATATATATATATATATAAACATATAAATAATATATATATATATAAACACATATAAATATATATATATATATATATATATATATATATATATTATAATATATATATATATATATATATGTATGTATGTATGTATGTGTGTGTGTGTTTTTTTTTTACCTAGTTCTTACAAAGTTGTTTCAGTACGGGAGATTTTAGCTCTGATAGTCCTGTCTGCTATATTTAATTCACGGTATAACTTTTCAAGCTGATTCACATTTTTTTTTTATGACTGTCCCAAACTTCAATAGTTCTGTTTGGGAAACTAATTTTATGACATCCTTATTGCCTCTTTTTACTTTCAACTTTTTACAGTGTCCTCTCGGCCTTCTTGTGTTCAAAACTATAAAGTAACTATTGTCTAATCTTACTCTTCCTGTAACATAGCTGAACAACATTATCGTCTTCCCCCTTTTCCTTCTTTCTTCCAAATCAGTAAGTCCTCATTTGTATAGTATCTTAATAGTATAGTGGCTAATATCTCTCAGAGTAGGTGCCCATTTTGTGGCTGCTCTTTGGACTTTTTCTAGTTTGTCTATATCCTTTTCTGATCAATACCACTGCGCCGTACTCAAGACTAGGTCTTAAGATGGCTGTGATGATCTTTCTCATATCTTCGTCCTCATACACGACTGCCCTCTCCATGTTGGCAATTAGTCCTAGCATTTTATGGACCTGTTCCTTTATATGATCATTTGGGCTTAGGTTCCTGTTTAGGATTACCCCAACGTCTTTCCCTATCAGCTGTGTTTGATATTGAGTCTCGTAATATATATTGGAATATTGGACGATTTCTACTTTCTCCGAACCTGACTACGTGGCATTTATTGGTGGTGAGTTCCATTTTCCAAATACAACTCTAAGTGAATAAGTTCTAGATGTCACTTTGGAGGCATATTCAAAATAAATATGGGGGCACCCGTACCCGCACCCTGAGGAAGCCTATACAGGTCTTGTTTAAACTTTTTAGTCCTACGGCCTCTTATAGAACGATTTTGTGGTCGTAAAGAACGGCATCAAGGATAGCAAAGCTTTGATAAGAAAGGTCAAGATAATAATATCAGTAATCGAACAGGCAGCACCATAACATTAGTAGCACGTCTCCATAGCACAGAAAACTTGACCCCTTCGCCGTAAGCTCCATTGGCTGAAACGCGATGCGGCGAAATTGGACGCGGCCGATAAAGGCAAGGTCAAGGGCAGAGGACGGTCCTCATAGTGGCTACCGTTCGAACGCACCGAATGCTCCCTTACTCACTCCATCCACTCGCTCTTTCCCTCATTCCATTCTCTTTCTCCATTGTTTCTAGATGTACGATAGCTGTCGTAGAAATACAAGAATAAGATATTGGGAATAATGTGCTATGGATAATACAATGATAATTCTCTGTACAATACTTCACTAGGGTAGTACAATAATTTTCCGTTATATGAATTCAAGAAGAAAGTTTTTCATTAAACCTGTATATCTTATTCATGCTCGTAACACACTTTGGTCATGTTCATACTATCTAGTTTTCAACGAAATGACAAATACACTCGTACGATCGTTGATGACTTATCTCGGTTTGCAGGCTATGGCAACACACAGAACTTTTACTTATTTCTCTTAGCTCTCTGTGTTCAGGGTTGGGCGGCGTTGCTATATTCCATAGGGCAGTTATCTGTTATGTTAGCATTGGCGAGTAATGGTGATGTTTTTATTGCTTAAATAAATGGAAATTTTGGAAGGTACTTTAGCATGTGATCCCGTAACAAACAGAATATGCAACAAATCTGCTATTTGTGTTTAGGCGGCGTTTCAAAACAAAATATGTACAGTGATTTCCCACTTATAATTTCATTTAACTTTAATTGTACATAATTTTACAGAATTGTAAGAACGCACAGTGTCTCTCTCTCTCACTCAGTCACTCTCTCACACACTCATTTTCTCTCTCTCTCTCTCTCTGTCACCTCACACTCTCTCTCTCTCTCTCTCTCTCTCTCTCCTTCAACATATTTAGTGTGTATTCCTCTATATTTCGTTTTCCTCTGCGTTAGAATAATGATGATGATGCTAATGATGATGATGATGATGATGATGATGATGATGATGATGATGATGATGATGATGATGATGATGATGATGATGATGATGGCGACGATAACGATGACGATGGCCATAACGATAATAATAATATTAATAACAATAATAATAATAATTCAGAATATCAAAGAATACACTGCAACGCCTTCATATTTGGCAAGAGGAAACCTAACTCAGCTGACCTCTTGACGTCACTTTCTGCACTGCTATACATAAGCAGTATCCTAAGCAGATGGAAATTAACAAAATGGTATAAGGCTCGAGAAGGAGGTGAGGTAGAAGAGAAAGAAAAAGAGGTGCATGGAGGAGAGGAGAGAGAGAGAGAGAGAGAGAGAGAGAGAGAGAGAGAGAGAGAGAGAGAGAGAGAGAGAGAGAGAGAGAGAGAGAGAGAGAGAGAGAGAGGAGGGGGGGGGGAGAGGGGAGAGGCGGGGAGTGATTAACAGATAGGCGACTATATATACAGGAAGAAGAGAGACACAAACAACCAAAGAAAGAGAATGAGAAATAGAGAAAGAAAGTACCCACACACGCGCTCAAGGACCCTAAGAGGCAAATCGTACAAGGGAGACAGAGGCAACAGAAGTGTAATAAATTGCCCGATGAAGCCCCAGAGAACGGCCGGCGCCTTGGGACTGCCAGTTTGTCACCTTGAAACGATGACTTAGCCTGTTATCGTAATAAAAACCTTCCCGCATATCTCTCTTTTCCCGCTCTCCTTCTCTTGTTCTTCTGTATTCTCTTACAATTTACGCATTTCATGGTTATTTTTCCCGCTCCGTTTCTATCAAAATTGACGTGAATCCCGACATGACACACGCTGCGGAAAGTCCGTGACATAAAGAGGAAATTGTACAACGTTTTACATGTCTAATTATCTATTTATTTACTAATTTACTGTGTTTCAGATGTAGCGTCTATCTTGAACAATAAAGAAATAGTACGTGTATTTGTTGAAAAGTGTATGGTGACGTGGTCGGCCATACCGTTGTAAACACTACAGCACAGAGCGTG